GCTCAAGTATAGCAGGGATCTTGGAGCTGGCACAGGATCAGGCAGTGTTTCGTTCTTCTGTGCATGGGGTCACTATGAGTCGGAAACGACTTGACAGCACCTAACAACAACATAAATATCTTATCTCTTACAGCTTTATTTTCTTAAGTGCAGAATCTCACACGTTACTCATTGAACACTATTTTGACTTTGGATTGAGCTGAGTTGTCGCTAAATCTGTCAGCCATTTTAAAATCTGTACTATGAACAATTACTCTCTCCCAGTCTGTATGAATGTCTTTTAGTTATCTATTACTGTGTAACAAATTGCCCCAAAACTTAGTTACTTAAAACACCAAACATTTCTTATCTCACACTTAGTGTGGATCAGGAATTCGAGAATGGCTTAGCTAGGTAGTTCTGAATCAGGATCTTTGAGGTTACAATCAAGGATTAGCTGGGGTTTAATCATCTGAAGGCTTGACTGGAGCTGGAGGACCTGGTTATAGTGTGTGACAGCTGAAGGCCTCGGTTTCTCTCTACATGGGCTTCTCCACGGAAGACAGCTTGAGTGTTCTCGCAACATGACTTCTTCCAGAGCAAGAGCTGAAAGGGAGAAAGCAAGACACACCTGGTCTTTAAAGTCTTAACATCATTTCCATTTTTCAGTCACTAAGTACAGTCCATACCCAAAGAAGCAGAATTAGGTGAGAGGAGTTACCACAATGACCCATGAACTTGATAAACTGAAGAAAAACATCCGCCATCATCTTCCTATTATTAGTTGGGTTACTCATTCCATTATTTTTTCACATTTTTCCTTTTTTTTTTTTTTTTTTAGAGATCTAATCATTTTATGTGTGTATGTACATGAAATTTTATATTCTGTTTTTTTCACTGCCATTAATAAAAAAAAGATGCTGTGTATCAAGCCAGTGTCTAAGGGATCCTTGTGTGTGATTTGTTCTTACCTGTCTTTCTCTACCTTCTAATTCTTTCTCTAATAGAAGTAATAGGAAGGAGATAGAGGGCTAATGAAAGATGGACTCTGCTACACGGGAATTAAGGGAGAAGATTCTTAAAGCCATTAGCCCTGATATGCCAGGAACAGGGCAGAGAATCCAAGGTGGCACTCAGTCAAAAACTCCATGCAGTATACCAAAACACAAACCAAACTCAATGCCATCGAGTCGTCCTAACTCATAGCGACCCTCATTGGGTTTCCAAGGTGGTAAATCTTTACAGAAGTAGATTGCCCCATCTTCCTTCCACAGAGCTGCTGGTAGGTTTGAACTGCCAACTTCCTCATTAGCAGTCAGGTTCCTTAGACACTGTACCACCAGAGCTCCTTCCATGCAGTATAGGCTTTATAATTTTTATCATCCTTTCTCTTTGCAGCAACTACAGTTTCTCAACAGATGGTTTCAGTGGCTCAGGAGGCAGTGGGAGCCATGGTTCCTCAGTAGGTGTTCAGGGAGGCGTGGACTGGATGAGAAAACTGGCTTTCCGCTACCGAAAAGTGAGAGAAATCTATGATAAGCATAAAAGCAATGTGGGCGGTAAGTGTAGCATACGACCAGTCTAATTCTGCTTCTTTCTGACTTGCTTTTTTTCTTTCCCAGGGATTCCTTAGATGCTCCTGGAAACTCCTTATGAATCTTTGCCACAGTAACATTTTAACTCTGTATAAATACATGAGGTTTATATTGAATCCCTTTGAGGAGGAAGCCCCTGTATTTCTCGCAGACTTCTCTTAGCGTGAGAGTCCCCAGGTGCCGCACAGTTACATGTTCAGCTCCTGTTCTGGTTACCTAGTGCTGCTCTGACAGAAATATACCACAAATGGGATGGCCTTAACAAACAGGAGTTTGTTCTTATAATTTGGAGGCTTTAAGTCCAAGTTCAAAGCTCTACGGGCTGGGTGAAAGCCCCTCAACCTTCGGGTCCAGCTCTGCCTCCTGCTTGCGACCCACTGAAGGCATTTCTTCACTCAAACAGCCACTGGCTGCTGAAGCTGAGAAGCCCCAAGGTTGACAAGGAAAAAGGCACAGTCCCAATGTTTCCAAACCACACGGTAGGCCATTAACTTAAGTCCATTGTAAGTCCCAAGGTCGGCAGAGCATAGCAGGCTGCTGAACACGACTCGGCTACACGCAGGGTCTAAGCGTGCCATAGGCTAGAGACCATTCTCAAAGCTTCTCCTTATATACAGGAAGCAGACCACATCCCAAAGGCAACTACCCAGCTGCTTGTGGTAGATCCCACCATGGAGTTGATTGCCAGTCTCATGGGGAATTAACTACCACCAGCTGCCCAGCCACTCAACCAGACCCAGCCAAGTTGACACACAAACTGAACTGCCACAGCTACTAACCAAAAAGCTGGTGGTTTAAATCCACCCAGAGGCAGCTAGGAAGAAAGCCCTCGTGATCTTCCAAAAGATCACAGCCATTGAAAACCCTATGGAGCACAGTTCTAACTCCCAAACACATGGAGTCACCATGAATTAGAATCTACTCAATGGCATAACTTTGTAAAGTTCTCTTGTTCTTTTTGGACAAATGCTTTTTTAAAGGAGATGTGTTCTGTACATTCTGTGGAATGACATGTGTTTTTTTCTGGAGTTACTATTAGGTATCAATACCAGTTAATAGGGTGCCATGATTTTTTGGCTGATTTGTATAGCCATCAGGACAAGTCTGGTAGGACTAGTGACTATAGTGAATGGAAAACTGGATTGTATTGTGATTTCAAGAACCTTGAAAATTCTTTCTGCCCAGAAATACCTCAAATGTCAGGCACCACTGTGCCTAAAATTATTTGAAATTAATTATAAATCATAAATTGTTAGAATTATAAGTGGCATTTGAGAGCTAATCTAAATCCTTTATGTTTAGTTGAGATGTCCAGTTGCAAGGGTAGTGGGGTGGGAGCAACTTAACCGTGATCCCAGAGCAAGTTAGTGACCATACCACAGCTGTGAGTCAAAAAGTAGGATGGTGCAGAAAGTAGAAACAGGGCTTTGAAAATTAGTTTTGTTCCTTTCTACTTCAGCATCCATTACCACATAGAGATCACGTAGAAATCACAAAGCTTCTAGGATTTGAGACACTGATTCCCCTTCTCATTGCTTATTTCATCTCATGATTTGGAGCTGATATCTCTTATTTTGACAACTCCAAGTCTCTGTTTTTCCCCTTTCACAGACATAAGCCTTTCTTTTCTTAGTTTTCATATACAACCTAGGTCCCTGGTCTTTTTCCTGTCCTCAGCCTGAATTCCTGTAGAAAATGATGTAACCCTCAGTGAGAATCCCGAGTTCACTTTGGGGAACATATTAAAAGTAATTTCCACGTGTATTTTTTATAAAATATAAATTAACAAAAGCACCACATCATGTATTACTTAAGTATATGATATATAGATACTATCTTATTGTTTAATTTTGTTTTGTTTTATGAGAAATAGTAAATAAGCCTAATTCTAGGCTTACATTGTAAAACCATCAATCTGAGAACAAATTATACACCTGGTTCTGTTTACAGAAATGTCTTCTGCTTTGTGGAGTATTGATAATAGAATACGGGGTTTTTCTTTTCACTTTCACTACAGAAAATTCAAAGCCAGATTTACTGTTTGAATATAATAAGTCAAGTGTTTGACACCATGCTTCCATCAGTTGAATTCTGTTTTGTTTGTGTTTTATTGTTTGGTATTAGGCTATATTTAATCTCTTATCTGCTGGAGTTACTGCAAAGTATAGTACAAGTAAATGACACACAGAGAGTTGGTCAATCAACTGGGAATTTCAGACTGATACGTTCTGAAACCGGTGGAAGTACAGTCACTATGGGAGTTAGTATGTGGTAGCCGAAAGACTTCCCAAGATTGAAAGCACAACCTTTCTGTGTAAATTAGGCAGATTCCCTTTCATTCCTAGGCTTTGGTTTCTTTAGAAAGAAGTTGGAATAACTGAGGACTCTTCCAGCTGTAGCAGTCATCATTTAATTTCCCCCCTTTGGTCCTTGATGTCATGTTCAGAACAGTGCTACTATAAAGCACCAGTCTGCAAATTATGTTACTGATCAGTGATGAGAGGGAGCGTTTGCCAGAATGTAAATCAGCCGTGTCACTAATAACGTGTTTACTTCAGCTGATATTTTTTGTCATTGCACCTCACTCCCCACAGCAAAGCTTTCTGATGAAGGAAGTCATGTGTTGATTTATATATTCTGGTGTAAGCTCCTGTGTAGTCAACAGGTTGGCATTTTGCTTAGCACTACTCTACTTTAAGGTTTCTCCAAGAAGAGAAATACATTAGTTCAGTGGAGTGTTTCAGTGACTCACACCATTTCTAAATTGAATTTAGAAATTGCTCAGTGTCAGCAAGGATATGTTGTCAAAATAATGAGTTTTGTCTGCTTTTATTCCCAAAGGCCTTCTCAGTCCTCAGAGAAAGGAAGCACTGCAGAGACTAAGAGCAGAAATTGAAGTTCTAACAGATTCCTGGTTAGGAACTGCCTTAAAATCCTTACTTCTCATCCAGTCCAGGTATGGAAATGGTACTTAAGATCTCATCCTCTCCTAGACACTCTTTGCTACCTCAGCCCAAGAGAGACCACCCCCTAAAATCGGGCTGGAGATCAGAATGAGAATTGTTTAGATGATGCAGGAAAGTATCTGGGTTTGTTTTATTTATTTTTATGCAAGGTCATTTTATGCTAATAGCACACATTAAAGTTTTACAAGAGTGCTTAGGTATAAAAATCCTTTTCCTTTCCTCTTACTTTTTGCTCACAAAATTAAAAGTCAGTAGTCCATAATTTCTAGCCCAGGAGATGGTCCTCGCTACATTAAAGAACACATACAAGAGAAATATCACAAATATCTCAAGTACAGGAATTTCCAAGAAATGAACCAAAACTCACTTTCAAAGGCAAAATTCAAAGAAAAATGGTACAATAAGCAGATTGTGGAGTTTTCCACTTGATGTTAGAATGGGAAATAAATGTAGTCATATCTTCACCAGTACATTTATTGTACCCCCCGTCAAAGTAGGAATTCCAAGTCCACAACTGCTAAAACAAACAGTAAAACTGACAGCAAGACGTAGATACCCAACTAAGTTAATGGACATATGAAATGTTTATTCTGGAATTTGTGTTGCTGTAATGCAAGGAGCAAAAAGGACTTAAGTTATATCTCATTCATGGGCTGAATTGCATTCAGATGAAGTAACACAGTTAGTGAAAGCTCTTTGTTGTTTGTTTGTCTTCTGAAATGTGGTATCAGTAACATGGGTTAATGGTATTTGCTAACGGTTTCAGTGAGCTAGGATGATCAGAGGGAAATAAGACCAAAGCCAGCTTGCTGCTCTGTGCCCAGTATGACGTACACAAAAAAGTCTAATGCCGGCCCTTAAATAAAGAAAATAAATAAATAAACTTGAATTATTTAGAACAATAACTGAGCATTGGCATTCAAATATCATACCAGGCATCTTGAGGTTGATTGAATTTTTACCCCCAGCTTAGTTTGGTTTCACTTTGTTTCGTTTTTTCTTCTTTTTCCCTTCCAGAAAGAATTGTGTGAATGTTCTGATCACGACCACCCAGCTGGTTCCAGCTCTTGCCAAGGTTCTCCTATATGGACTAGGAGAAATATTCCCTATTGAAAACATCTATAGTGCTACCAAAATTGGTATGGTTTTTATTCTACTTCTTGTCACTGCCCTTAGAATGATATTTGCTACTTCTGATGTACTTATTTTTGTTGTTTATTTTAATATTTTTAAATTATTATTTAAAAACAACATTTGCCAATTCAGTATTTTTCAGATGTACAATTTAGTGGTATCAATTACATTAATAATGTTGTATGTTGCACTTATTATTTACCAGACCCTCTGTTATATATTTTATATATAACAACCTATAATCCTCATACTAGTCTTCTCCTGATGTTACTGATGAGGAAACTGAGGCTTAACGGTTAGGTAGCTTGCTGAAGGCTTCATAGCCAATAAATGACATAACCATTATTCAAATCCAGGTCTACTAGTCTCAAAACATACCATGCTCTTTTCTTTTATAGTATTTGAAAGAATCTAATAATTTAGAAATCTATTTTTTCCCTCATTTCAAGTTTCTCCCTCTCTTCACAGAAACAGCATTAGATTGAAAAATCAAAGGATTAGGATTTGAATCCTGGTTACCCCATTTAGCTTAGGTATCTAAGTCTCGTTTGTTTATTTAAAATGAGAATCAACCAGGGAATTTGTAAAACTCAAATGACTTTGTGTAATAAAGGCACTTTGAACTCCTAAAAATGTGCTTAGTACCAAGTATATGAAATGATAGCTATTCAGTAAGTATTTGCTGAATTAATTAATTGGCACCTTTGAGTTTTAAAAGAATATTTATGTATAAAGCCCTTTATACATAAATACTCTTCTTTGTGTTTAGATATGTGGAAGTCATTAACTAGTTGTTCAGCTGAAGAACAACAGAATGTTTCACCCTAGTCTCTATGTGTTGCATAGGTCCTGGGGAAAGAAAGAATATGATAGAGATCCCCCTACCCTTCAGCCTACTCCCCATTATACCAAAGGAGAGTGTACTGGAGTTTGACTGTTGGCTATGGAGATAGATAGATAGATAGGTATAAAATCAATGCTAATGATCCGATAGCATTTTCTCCATTAAAAGATATATGTAATTTTTTTATACCCCAGGGTTTGTGGAGATCAAAGCCACCAAGTCCTATTGACATTTTTTCTTGTCATTCATTTATTCAACAAATATTGACCACCCTCTATGTGCCATGCATTGTTCTAGGTACTGGACATACAGCAGGGGGCAAAACAAGCAAAAAATAAATCCCTCTAATGGAAGGAGATAGTCAGTAAACAAATGAGTAAAACACAAAACATGACAGATGCTGATAAGTGCCACAGCTAAAAATCAATCAGGGACAGAAGGTAGGATCATATTTAAAGAAGATAGTTAGAGAAGACCTTGATGAAAAGGTATTATTTGAGCAAAGACCGTAAGGAGATGAAGCAGTGAACCTTTAACATTTATCTGGGGAAAGAGCATGCCAAGGAGAAAGAACAGCAAGGGGAAAAGGTTGGTGCTATGTTCAAGGAAGAGGAAGGGAGGGAGAGTCACAGAAGATAAGGCCAAAGAAGTTAAAGGGGAGGATGGGGAAGGTCCTCCAGGGCTTTGTGGATTATTTGAAGGACTTTGGCTTTTATTCTCACAAAATGCTATGGTAATGTTTTGAACAGAGAGTGACATGATTTGACCTACATTTTAAGCAGATAAGTCTGGCTGCTCTATAGGGCCTTGAAGAGGATAGCTGGAAGGCAAGTTAGGAGGCTATTGCAGTAATCAGTCCAGCATGAGATCATGGGTGACTTGGAGCAGGTGGCAGCAGTGGAGTTTGGTAAGTCGGCAGTTGGTGGATATCCTGTGAAGGCAGAGCTGACAGGATGTACTGATAATTTGGATGTGGGTGTAAAAGAAAAGAAGTCAAAGATGACTCCAAGGATTTTAGACTAAGCAACTGAAAGGATGAAGATGCTGTTTACTGAAATGATCAAGACTGTGGGAGAAAGAAGAGGAGTTTGGTTTTAGACGTGTTGACTCTCCGTTATTAGACATCCAAGTGGAAATGTCATACAGGCAGTTGGATAATCTGATTCTGAAAATCAAGGGAAAAGTACTGGTTGAAGATACAAAATTAAGGATTGTTCACATACATGTAGTTTTTTAAACCTGGGTGAAATCATAGGAGTGAGTGCAGAGAGAGGAGTAGAGGTCTAAGAACTAAGCTCTAGAACCGTCTAATGTTTAAATGCTTAGATCATGAAGAAGAACCACCAAAAGTATTAGAAGGAGCAGCCTGTAAGTTAGGAGGAAAAGAGAGTGGTGTCTTGGAAGCCAAAGGAAGAAAAGAGTGGTCTATTGTATTGTATGGAACTGACGGATCAAATAAGATGGGAACTTAGAATTGATGCTGTGTTTAGCTCTGTGGGTCATTCGTGACTCTGACAAGCAGTGTCAGAGGAGTGGTGGGGATAAAAGCCTGATGGGAATGGGCTTAAGAGGGAATGATGAACCCTGACTTGCCCTGACATTATCTTTAAACTGAAACCAAAAATAACCCCTGAAGTCATCTTAAAACCAAAAAATAGTTTAGCTTAACTAGTTTAAAAAAAAAAGTGTGCCTTGAGCTTTTTGCTCTTTCAAGAACTGTGTACATGGGATCAAATTGACAACAGCAGCTAGAAACATTAGATGGGAACTTTAGGAGGCAGTGAGTTTGTATTAATGAGGGAAGAACAACTTAGAAAAGGAGGGTAAGAATGGTTGCATAATTCAAAAAACATAATCAGTGTCACTAAATTGTACACGTAGAAACTTAAATTATTATGTGTTTTGCTCTGTATATTCTCAACAACAACAAAATTAATAAAATTTAGGAAAAAAAGAATAGGGAGAAAGGAGTTGGAGAGGGCAGGTGTAGACAGCTCTCTAGAAGAGATTTGTCATAAAGAAGAGCAAAGAAATGAGGCAGTAAGTAGCTGGAGGATGTGTAGGCTTTAGAAGATTTGGGAATATAAGATAAATTATATCAAATTTATATGATGAGGGAAAGGATCTATAAGATGAGGAAAAAAATGATGATGCAGGAAAGAAGGAATTACAAGTGTGATGACCATAGTAGGTAAGACGGGGTTATAGAAAGTAATACTCATTGTGAAAAGAATTATTTCAGAAAGTATAGAAAAATGTCAAGAAGCAGAAAAATTGTTGTCGACAAATGTTGTATTATTTATATTTTTACCACAATTAAAAAAGAAGAATCACATAATTCCAAACTTTGAGAAGCTATATTTTGTCATATTTACCTAATTCTTTGGTTGTAAGGGATAAAAATTCAACTAGTTTAAACCCAAATGGGAAATAATTGGTTTATATAACTGAAAAATCCAAATAAGACATTGTCTTCAGGCATGGACGTATCTATAGCTTCAACTAACGTTGTCAGGGTTCTTTCTGTGTTTATGTCTTGGTTCTTCAATCCTCTGTGGTGGCTTAATTTCTCAGGTAGGTGGTCTCTACATGATAGTGAAGATGGTCCATTTCTCAGAAGCAAGAATGCTACTCTTCTGATAATTCCAACAGAAGTACCAAAGAAGTCTTAAATTACTGTAACAGGTCACGTGTCCATCCCTGAACACTCTGACCAAGGGTGGGGAGTACTGTCGTTGACCAGGTCTGATTCACTTGCTCTGCGAACCTGGGGCCCGCAGGTGACATCAGCACCACCAGCCTAAGAATGGGGAAGAAATAATCATCCAAAGATGCTCTGGACAGACAAAAAAAACTCTGGAAATGGCCCATTATAGGCCAAACCCACTGCCATCGAATCAGTTCTGACTCATAGCAGCCCTATAGGACTATAGAACTGCCCCATAGGGTTTCCAAGACTGTAAATCTTAACACAAGCAGGTTGGCCCATCTTTTTCCCACAGAGCAGCTGGTAAGTTCGAAGTGCTGACCTTTTGGTTGGTAGCTGAGCATTTTAACCATTGCACCACCAGGGCTCCTACACTTTGTTAAAGGAAGCCTTGCTGCCCTTCTCCCAAGCATATACCACATGAGTTGGCGTTACCCCTGTTGAAACTACTCAATTTATAATTCATACCTGGAGCTGCTCTGAGGGAATACAGCTCATCTCTAAAAGTCTGGATCCCCCACATGTTTTCTGAGTATGCATCTTTTATTATTATTATTATTACTGTTTTTTATTTTTTATTGTGCTTAGGTGAACGTTTACAAAGCATATTAGTTTTCCATTCAGTAGTTAGTACACAAAATGTTCCATGACATTAGTTGCATTCCCAGTGTGTCAGCACTCTCCCCTGCTGAGGTCCAGCCTCAGCTGTGGGTCTCTGGAGGGAGAGGTGGCGTCGGCGAGATGATGGAGACACACTCACACAAGGTAAAGATGTGCCCCACATAATGAGGTGGCCTTCTTTATTTTATACTATATTGCAGATTACAAATGACAAAGCAAAATGACAAACCCACAATTCTAGGTACATGGCTGTGGGCTATTAACTTTCCAAAACTTATAAAACTATTATTAAACTTAAAACTAAACTTAAGTCTTATCTTATCTAACTTATCTATCATTAACATTATAAAAATAAAATGTGCTAGACAATGAGGTTAACTAAAACATGAAAAAATGGTCAGGGTGAAGAATA